CCCCAAAACCCCAAAACCCCAAAACCCCTAAAGATAGAAATTGTAATATTAATTTGTTATAATAATAAATCTAAAAAATATATCAACAAGCAAAAATGTTATCAAGTCTGCTAGGAAAAATTAAGATAGGGAGTATCTTTATTATGGACCCTACCTTTAAACCTAAGAAGGAAAGACCAGAGGAGGAAGAGTACACTGATGCTAAGATAATGTATTTCCACCCAACTAATACTGATATCCATGAAAAGCGTAAATAAGTTGGTATCAGTGAGGGTATAGTATCTTTCTTCCTGCCATTTACAGACAATACTGAGCCAATTCAGTGCATCTCTACTTTGAACTTCACCCATGTGATGAAAGAAATCGAGAAAGACATTTGGCTGAATATTGTTATCACTCATCCAGAGACTCTCTACGGACCAAAGTAAGATCCCAAAGAGGAGGCTGAGACTATAGCCAATAATAAGTTTTAAGTCAGTTTATTCAGAGAAGAGGACTCTAAGATTTTCCATAAGCTCCTTGATGTCTATTACAAGTATTTCGAGCTATTTCATGGAACTTTAAGAGAACTCTGGAATACTCATGAAGAAACATTTGAATCAATACTTGAGGATTTTACTAAGAACTTTGACTACCACTTTTTCAGCAAAGAATTTGAAAGAAATTTCTTTTGGAATATTTCATTTTAAGGCTTATTTTATTGTCCCATCGAGAAAAAGTAATTCCTATAGACTCAGCTTTTAGTAAACTCATTACTTTAAGAATTCTAAAATGATGTTCAACATATGATGGTATTCCACGAGGAGTTTTACATTTCAAGTACTTTGCCTCACCAAGATATCTAAAATCTATACTCATATATTGTGGGTTGTGGAGAGTGCAGCAGAGATAAGAGAAAAATAAAGATATTTACCTATAAAGAAGCGGGTAACACACATAGAGTAGACCAGCAAAAGCAGGTTTAATATTCACTTGGAGCTAATGAATTGGCATCTACATTCAACAATCAATTGAACATCAATCCATCCTCAATATCTTAATCTGAGATTATCAATACTGAAACTAATACTTAAAATCAAAATTAAGAATCGATATCTGTTGATAATGGCTCTAATTTTTTCCAAATTACTCATAATGATTTATTCGGATAAGATGAAGCTCTAGGTATTTCTAACTTTGGAAAAATCAATCAGAAAGCTTTGAATCTTCCTTTCAATCCTAAATCCGTGCAGTTCTTGATTGGACCAGTTTTTTCGCAAGCGTCAAATAATCCCAATGATCAGAAATACTGTGACTTATTCGCGCCCAGAATTTATATTAAGAACTCTGAAGGAGTGCTAGAGCCATTTAAAATGCTAGTGTTCTAAGCACATAAAACTCTCATTACTCTGTTATTCAAAAATGACTATAACTTTACATATGAGGTTTTGGACTCAATAAACAGATTTTTATCATTACATTCCCCACCAGTTTCTAGCTAATTGGATATCATTATAGGCAAAGTATTAAGCAAAGAAGATCCTATTAGATTTGTTTACTTTAATCAGATGAATTTGGCCTTGAAATTCAGTAACTTAATCAATAAGGAGGTTTTCACACCCGAATTGATCCTCACTCTTAATCAGATACATGACTCATTTGTGAATGATCCAGATTGTGTGGAATAACACATGAACAACTCTTTTTATTGGCTTGTAGGAATAAATTCCTGTGGACGAGAGATCTATCTGATCTTCCCTCCAAACTATACCTCTTCTAAGGTAGACTTAGAGAAGAAAAAGATATTGGCCGCTTACTTCTAGAATCTGTTTATTTGATCTTTATCTAATTATCTTAATAATATAGCATCTAATTCATATTCAAATTATAGCCTTCACTTAAATTCGATAGCTATTAAAACTCTATTATTTTATAATTTTAAAGATGCCACCTAAGTAACTAAAAGGAGCTCCACCCGTCAAGCAAGAGGTAACCCTAAAGGTGTTCGGTAACTACTTCGTACCAGAGATGAGAACAGTGTGCGCCTTGCTGGAGTTGAATGAGATTCCCTACCAATGTGAAACTATAAACATTTTTTCCAAGGAGGGCAGAGAAGAGTATCAAGGTTTCAATCCTTCATAAATGATGCCGACTCTGATTGAGGGATATCAAACTATCCTTGCTGATCCCCCCCACATGTATAAGTACATTTGCAAGACCAAGGACGTAGATGAGAAGTTTTACCCATAGAAAGACATGAACAGAGACAAGAAAAAGCTAGTTGACTAGTATCTTGAATATATCTAGTGGATGGTCAAGCGTAATAGCGACAGATTGACCAAGCTGAAGATTGAATCAATTCTACTTGAAAGAGGTCTGATTGAGAAGGAAGAAGTGAAGTTTAACGATGGAGAAGAGGCCAAGGAAAAAGATATTTTCTTCAACATCATTGTGCCTAACCTCGAATCACATTTGGACGGAGGAAAGACGTATCTCTGCGGTTATGATTTCTCAATTGCAGATATTGCTTTCTTTAATGAGTTAATCAACGTGATTGAAATCATCGAATAAAATATCGACGCCAAGAGATTCCCCAATATAGACAAGTGGATGAAGAGAATCGAGGATATCGGTCCCATCAGAGTAGGCACTATTAAATTCCAAGATGAATTAAAGAAACTGCAGGAGAGATTCAGAGCATGAAAGAATGTGAAAAGTAGTTCACTTAATGTAGATAAGTCTTCTTCACCAAGTTTTATATACTCAATAAACAACTAATAAATTAAGTTTTTATTATCATCATTTTCATCTTCACTTGTATTGCTCTCACGGGGTTTTGGGGTTTTGGGGTTTTGGGGGGGTTTTGGGGTTTTGGG